CTCTGAGCTGTGGAGTTCCTCGTTCCTGGTTGCCGAATTAGAACTGCTCACCCAGTGGGAAGCAGCAGTGAGTCACAGCCCGCCCCCAGGAAGCACACCCTACCCCAGAGAGACTTGCTGCACTCAGGGCAGAACTGAAAGGAAACACTGGGAGGAAGGGAGCTTCTGCCATAACAGTTCCTGGACCCTCCATCCCCACTCTGGTAGCTCCACTGTTGGTCTCCTGTGACGGCTTCTTCCTCTTCTTTGGTTTGCTTCCTGTGGTAAATTGTACTTGTTAACAGCTTCCCGAGACGGAGATAGTGGGTGGCAATGTTTAGGACGTCGGGCTTACGTGTTTGAGACCCTCTGATTGGAAGTTCAGACTGGGCATCACCCCCTGGGATTTGAAAGCCTCCGTGTTGTCCTCTAGTTTCACGTGTTGGATGCAGCAAGCTCCTGGCTCACATGTGCCACCTGTTTTCTTTCCTCTCTGAGGGGGTTTACGTTCTTTTCTAAGCCCTATTTTTCCTAAATTTCCCAATAACGTGGACTATTCTCTGGGTCAGGACAGGGGATCCCAGAACGGCATCACTGAGCCAGGAGAGTGTCATAGTCAGAGCTTGGGAGAATTTGGTAATAGATAAGGACAAAATCAAGCAAACAGAACAGTGAGAAAAACTAGGAATTCTAAGGGAAAACTTGATGTAAGTAAGCAGATACACCCGGAGTAAACAAATCAGCTCAGCAGAAAACAGTATTTGCATGTTCACACTGAGGGCAACAGTAGATACTCATTTTTTTTGTTTGTTATGCTGGGCTTACTAAACTCTTTTAGTCTGTAAACTCATGGCGTTAGCAGAGAGCAATTTCTCTTATTCCTTTGATATTTTCCTTCTAATCAGGTGTTAGATCCCTTGAATTAATGCTTTTCTTATTTTTGCCTTTAATGTTTTGTACTTAGTGTTTTGGCTTGCATCTGAGAGATCTCTTCATCTTTTCAGTTGTCATCCTTTTATTGACTTTTGAAAGTTCTACCATGATTTTTTGTTTTTTAAACATGAGGTTTTGCTATGTTGCCCAGTCTAGACTCAAACTCCTGGGCGCAAGTGATCCCCCATCTCAGTCTCCCAAGCCCTCGGGACCACAGGCACTTGCCACCATGCCCAACATCTGTCACGTTTTTAATTTGTAAGAGCTCTTTTTTATTCTGAGATATTTTAACAAAAGCCTCCAATTCTTATTCGTGGATGCACAGTCTTAGTGTGTCATCTCTGAGAATACTATAGTTTAAAAGAGTTTCCTTCTGTTCTCTAAGCTTTCTCTCCTCTGAGTGCCTTGTTTTCTGCTTGGTCAGCACCCTGCTTTCATGAATGAGGCCCTAACTCCGGCACAGAGTTTGGGATCTGTGGGGGGCTTGCTCACCACAGCTTAGAGGACACTAGTTGACTTTTCTCTTTGTCCCATTATTTTTCCCAGAAAAGAATCTTTCCAGCTCTCCCCTGTTGGGCATGGACCTGTCAGTATCCCGGGAGCTGAGTTGGGAAGAGGGCTCTTCCACTGCCCTGGCCGGCTGAGCCCACCCTGCCCTTGCTGGCCGCTGATTCAGTGTCCAGGCCTCCCTGGAGTTCTGTGGCCTGCATTCTCATCTCTAGTTGGTGCCCTTCTGTGGGCTCCTGAAACTCAGCCTTCCCTGTGCCAAGTCAGTCTTCACATGGCCAGCCGCTTCGGTCCTCCAGGCCTGGTTCACCGTTTCTGCTTCTCTTTTCTTGACTTTTTAATTCTTTGTGTTATTTGAGAGGGAATATCAACAAGCCTCTGTGCTCCATCTGCTATGTTTAACTGGAATTTCTATACCTTGATAAGTTGTTTTTTTTTGTTTTTGAGATGGAGTCTTGCTTTGTCACCAGGCTGGAGTGCAGTGGTGCAGTCTCGGCTCACTGCAACCTCCACCTCCTGGGTTCAAGTGATTCTTTCGCCTCAGCCTCCCGAGTAGCTGGGACCACAGGTGCATGCCACCACACCCGGCTAATTTTTTTGTATTTTTAGTAGAGACAGGATTTCACCGTGTTCGCCAGGATGATCTTGATCTCTTGACCTCATGATCCACTTGCCTCAGCCTCCCAAAGTGCTGGGATTACAGGTGTGAGCCACAGCGCCCAGCCAGGTTTTTAAAACTACTAGAGGAATACCTGTTATTTGAAGAATAATTGTAAAATTTTGATAAAGGAAAAAAAATCTTAGTCCCTCCATCCAGAGAGTCAGCATCTTATAGCTTGGTCTGTGCCATGTGTGCATACATTTGTCCATGTGTAGAAAGATCAGCCTGGGGCGAGGCACAGTGGCTTAGGCCTGTAATTCCAGCATTTTGGGAGGCCAAGGCAGGTGGATCACTTGAGGTCAGGAGTTTGAGACCAGCCTGGCCAACATGGTGAAACCCCGTCTCTACCAAAAATACAAAAGTTAGCCAAGTATGGTGGTGTGTGCCTGTAGTCTCAGCTACTTGGGAGGCTGAGACAGGACGTGAACCTGGGAGGCAGAGGTTGCGGTGGGCCGAGATCTCACCCTTGCACTCCAGCCTGGGCGACGGAGCGAAACTCTTGTCTCAGGAAAAAAAAAAATTTAGTTTGTTCCCTGTGCTCTTGAAATACTTCTAGGAATGGTTTGTACATTTCTCTGCTTCCTCACCTTTGATCTTCCTCCTCACCCCATGGGATGTGACTTCTTCCCCTGCCCCATGCACCATGTCTTAGTGTTAGAGATCTGGTAGACCCTGGGCCTTGCTGTGACCTTTGATGCTGCCAACCTGGCCCTCCTCTCTTGCCCTCTGGTCCTCCTGCCCTGAGGGGCTGTGTGTTGTCCACTGTGACAGGTACTTGTTGGCCAGCCCCTGTGACATCCCACAAAGTGGGTACTGCCTGCCCCATTTCACAGATAAGGACACTAAAGGCTAGTGAGAGGATGAGCCTGGGCCTTCCCCAACCCCCTGTGCCCAGCTCTCAGGCCCCCTCTCTGCCCACAGACCCAGCTTGCAGTGCCCCTCTGGGCAGAGAGGGGGCCTCCATCAGGCATCAACCATGTCCTCTCCCCTAAACCCGAGCCTGCTGGGCCACTCTTTGACTCAGCAGGTCTCTACATTCCGCCTGCCCTCACAGGCAGGCGCTGTTCCTCAGAGCTCTAAAAGTGGCACTTTTTTGTCTGGGCTGATGAGGAACACCCACCCCCAGCCAGCCGAGGTCCTTCCGTTTCTTCCCTTTCCACACTTGGTCAGCTGCCAGGCTTGGCCAGCTGTTTCCTGTAGAGTCTCTCAAACCCAGGCCCCCTCTAGCCAGTTGCAGTGACCACCTTGGCTTAGTGCTACCTCTGTGCCCAGCACTGGCCACGTGTTGGGAAGAGAAGGAAGGTCATAGCAGCTGACCTCGAGCACACACTTGATGTGCGACCAGCATGGGCAGGCGCTGTCACCTGCACATTCCATTTTTTTTTTGAAACGGTGTCTTGTTCTCTTGCCCAGGCTGGAGTGCAGTGGTGTGATCTTGGCTCACTACAACCTCTGCCTCCCAGCTTCAAGCGATTCTCCTGCCTCAGCCTCCCAACTAGCTGGGACTATAGGCAAGCACCATCACACCTGGCTAATTTTTGTATTTTTAGTTGCCATGGGGTTTCACGATGTTGGCCAGGCTGGTCTCTAACTCCTGACCTCAGGTGATTCACCTGCCTTGGCCTCTCACAGTGCTGGCTGGGATTACAGGCGTGAGCCACTGCACCTGGTTTTATTTTTTTTTTTTTTTTGAGTCAGGGTCTTACTCTGTCAGCCAGGCTGGAGTGCAATGGTGTGATTTTGGCTCACTGCAACCTCTGCCTCCTGGGCTCAAGCCATCCTTCCACCTCAGCCTCCCATGGAGCTGAGGTTACAGGCACATGCCACTACTCCTGGCTGATTTTTCTTTCTTTCCTTTTTTTTTTTTTTTTTGTAGGTACGGGATTTTTGTCATGTTGCCCAGGCTGGTCTCATACTCCTGAGCTCAAGTGATCCACGCATCTTGGCCTCCCAAAGTGCTGGGATTACAGGCGTGAGCCACTGTGTCTGTCCTCACCTGCACGTTCAGATGAGAAAACCCAGACGCAGAGAGGACAGGTCACTTGCTGGTGTCAGGGCAGGCCTGTTCTGAGACAGCCATTCCCACAGGACGCTCCCACTGGGTTCCTGCCTGCTGGGCCCTGGGCTCCTCTCCAGCATTCCTAGAGGCAGAGTCAGGTGCCAGGACTTGCTGTGGGGGCTGCTTTTGAGGGCTGCAGCCTGGGCTGTGGGGTGTGCCTCTCCTAGGGTGATGGCCATCACCTACCTGTGTCTACCAGGTGTAAAAGAGGAAGCACAGTGATGTCATTGTGGGATTAGATGCACTGGGCTAAGGATTGTTTTCTGTCTGGTCTTTTTAATCAAATGAAAAGTACATTATTCACAGGTATTGGTATTTCTTAGTCATAAAGTTCTTGCATAGTGCCTCATCCCTCACACTGCTTCCTGAGCTGCTGATGGGGTGTGTCTCCCATCTGGGGATGGATTGGGTCTGTGTTTGTTGTTGGAAGGGGCACTGCCTGGAGGGAGAGTAGAGGCTTAGTGGAGAGGGAGATGGACATGGCCGCAGATGTGGATGTGGCCTCACTGAAACAGTGTGGTAGACGGGAGGTGAGAGACCTGACAGGTAAGTACGAAGGCCTGGAGAGAAGAAAAGCCAGAAGACTAAGAAAGGTAACTTAAAGAATGGGAAGGAGGATCAGGAAATGTAGGGTATCGGAGTATAGGGCATGAGGAGCGTAGGAAGTATGTTGAAAAACAATGTCTAGCAGTCAAAAATATCAGCGGGTCACAGAGAGTCACGTTTTTATTCTGTTCTGAGGTCTGTAGTGTTTGTTTTTATCACGTGGATCTGCTTCCTAAGAAGCAGACTATGTAAGCAGCTTCCTAAAAGTTGGAGAAGTCTAATTTCACCTCCAGTGCTTGGACTGTGCCCTTTTAGATATCCAAACACAGCCTGTGAGCTTCTGACTTGTGATGTGCCGCAGATCAGCGACCGCCTCGGTGGGGACGAGAGCCTGCTGAGCCTCCTGTATGACTTCCTGGACCATGAGCCGCCTCTCAATCCTCTGCTCGCCAGTTTTTTCAGCAAGACCATTGGCAATCTCATTGCAAGAAAAACCGAACAGGTAAATAATATGCAAAGCCTGTGTGATTTGGGGCATTGTCATGATGGATGCTGATGTGTCTGCTGTGGGCCTGGCTGTGTGGCTCATCCTCAGGCCATGGAACAGCATTTGTGACTCTTCCGTGCAACACGTGTGGAGCAGTGTGGGTTTTGCTAATCTGAGAGCTGGAATTTGAAGGAGTGTTTCTGGCCTGTAATTCTAGCACTTTGGAAGACTGAGCTGGGCAGATCACTTGAGGTCAGGAGTTCGAGACCAGCCTGGCCAACATGGTGAAATCCTGTCTCTATTAAAAATACAAAAATTAATCTGGGTCCAGTGGTGATGTGCACCTGTAATCCCAGCTACTTGGGAGGCTGAGGCAGGAGAATCACTGGAACCCAGGAGGCAGAGGCGGCAGTGAGCTGAGATTGTGCGCTGTACTCCAGACTGGGCGACAGAGTGAGACCCTTATCTCAGAAAAAAAAAGGGGGAGGGAGTGTTTCTTAGGGCTGGCTCTGGAATAAGCAGGACTTCCTGCCATCCCCGGGACCTGCACAGGGCTCCAAAGTAGCCATCTTGTCCTGTCACTGAGCAGGTGCAGGTGCAGGTGTGAGGTCCTGGGGCATCATGGCAGGACCTTGGACATCCGCCTTCTCAGGTCGGCGGCTTCTTCTGTGTGGGTGTTGTGAGAGGAGAGGAGAGACCCCCGCTGTAATGGGGTCTTCCTGGAGTCCACCCTTGCTCCTGCCTCACATGTGACCTGACCTGGGCTTCTGCCCCTCCAGGCTGTGGACACACAGGTAGAAAGGTGTGGTGGCACCTGTGCCTGCACCCAGCGGTCTGCCTTGGCCAGTCTTCTTGGCTGTGTCATGCTCCACCCGCCCATACCTGATGGAAATATTTTAAAACAAATCCCAGACACCAGATTATTTCTTACGTAAATATTTCAGTATGTATACTTCTTTATTTATTTTTGAGACAGGTTTCACTGTGTGCCCAGTCTAGAGTGCACTGGCACCATCACAGTCCACTGCAGTTTTACCCTTCGCAAGCTCAGGTGATCCTCCCACCTTGGCCTCCTGAGTAGCTGGGACTACAGGCATGTACCACCACACCTTGCTAGGTTTTCTTTGTATTTGTTGTAGAGATGGGGTTTCCCCCTGTTACCCAGGCTGGTCTTGAACTCCTGGGCTCAAATGATCTGCCTGCCCCAGCCTCCCAAAGTCCTGGGACTACAGGTGTGAGGCACCATGCCCAGCTGTGTATCTCTAAAATAAGGACTTTTTTCCTTTTAAATGTAATTAGAATTTCATGATCACATTCCAAAAATATTAACCATAATTATTTCATACCATCAAACATTCAGTCAGGGAGTTAACCAGTATTTCATGTCTGCTTGGAGCTCTGAGAAAGTGCAGTCCCAGAAAGGCCACTGTTCCACTTGAGGACATTCAGTGTGTGTGTTGTGAGTGGCAGTGGAATGGGAGCTGTGGTGTGGGCCGTGGCGTGGGCTGGGGGTTGTCATGGCTGTGAGGTGGTGGTAAGAAGTTGTGAAAAGCTTTACTGCCTGGCCCTTGCAGCCCAGTGACTAGAATTGTGTATCTCGTAATTTGCTATACCCTGCTCTTACTCCTCTGCCACTTTCAGATATTTTCTTTATAATTTTACTGCTTCATATAATATTTTTCTCCCATCTCCCATTAACTTAGTGCTGAATGCATGAAAGTAATATGAACTGAACTGTTAAAAATTCTTCTGTTGACTGATGTTTAACACAGGTATGTGAATTTCAAACAATACGGAAATATGTAAGCCAGTGTTCTGTCATCTCTGGATATGGCTACTGTTGATGATTTAGTGCATGTGCCTCTTAAGTTTTTTTCCCACTAGACTTATTTTCACACAGTAGTGTCATACGCTAAATACCACAGATTACCTTGTTCACTTGGACATGGGTCTTGTCTGACTCTCCCTGCAGAGCGGCCTGCACCGCCCTCCTGGGCTCTGCCTCTGTTCTCAGGGCCAGCAGTGAGGCAGGGATGCTGTGAGCCTTCCCCTGTGCTTCCTGAAACTGTGGGAGATAGCCCAAAGGTGGGGCTTTAGTGAGAGGACCATCTGCATTTTCCCAGCCCTTCATTATGAATTCTTTCAAACGTCTGCAGATGAATCATTCCATGAACCCCCATGTCTCCGTCACTCAGATTCCACATCATCTCTTCATGGCGAATCACATTCTTCTATATCCCTTTATTTGCACCCCCCACCCCAGATTATTGTGAAGCAAGTCCCAGACATCGTATCATTTTGTATTTATTTCAGTGTGTTTTTCTAAACGATTAAGAACTCTTCTACAAGCATGACCACAATACCATTATCACACCTAAAACATTCATGATAATTTCTTACTTTCATCAAATATGTGTACAGTGTTCAAATCGCTTTGATTATCTCATAAAACATTTCTCAGAGTCGGTTTGTTAGAACTGCGGTCTTTTTGCGGTTCGTCTTGGTGGTGGCATCCAGTGTGGGGTGCAACAGGTGTTTTCTGTGAGGGGCCAGGTATCCTGGGCCTCCGATGAGCTGGGTCTCACATTCTTCTCTTTGTTTTTTAACAGCCCTTTAACGTAATGAACACTCTCAGGGCACAGGCGATGCGGTAGGACTGTGCTGTGGGCAGGGCTTGGATGAGCCAGCTCTGCTGCCCTGCATCCCCCCAGTGCCCTCCATCTAGGTGAGATTTTTCTCAGCAGGCAAGAATGTGTCATCGAACTTCGGATGGCACCTTTTCCTTATGGATCCTTGGGCATTATACTGATCAATATTTGCATTGCAGACAATGTTCTTTGACCTTTTATTTTGAAACTTAACACAAACGCAGAGGAGCGCACAACACTGGGTGGAGCCCCGGGTGCCATCGGAGCAAGCAGCCGAGTAGCCACCACTCAGGTCCCAGAAGCTCAGAGGCTGACCGTGCCAGCCCCATCACTGCCTCCCCTCTCCTCCTCAGTTACTACCCTGCCTTAGACCAATGGATTAATAGTTTAGTTTGCCTGTTTTGAAGTTTTACAAAATGTTTTGAGTTATTATAGAGTCACAAGAATTTGCAAAAATGGTTGAGAGAGTTCCCATGTGCCCTCCACCCAGTTTCCCCCAGTGGCTCTACACGATATCCAAACCTGGAATTGACATTGGCACAACGTAGCTTTATAGGTCTTGATAGTTCATAGAGTTATTCCTCTCATTTTGTTTTTCTTCAAGATTGTTTTTATGATTCTTTGCCTTTTTCTTTTTCTTTTTTTGAGACTGAGTTTCGCTTTTGTCATTTAGGCTGGAGTGCAGTGGTGCAGTCTCACCTCACTGCAACCTCTGCTTCCCAGGTTCAAGCGATTCTCCTGCCTCAGCCTCTTGAGTAGCTGGGACTACAGGTGTGCACCACCCCCTGCCCCTAGTTTTTGTATTTTTTAGTAGAGATGGAGTTTCACCGTGTAGGCCAGGCTGGTCCCGACCTCCTAACCTCAGGTGATCCACCCTCTTCAGCCTCTCAGAGTGCTGGGATTACTTAGAGTTGTGAGCCACTGCACCCGGCCTATTTTGTTTATTTTTATTTTTTTCTTTCCTATTATTTAAATTTTTGCTTTCTTTTTTTCTTGATTGTTTTTGGAATAAGCAAATTTAGAACGAGTCTATTAGTTTCTACATTCTCCACCTCCCTACCCTGCCCCCCAAAAATAAACCTACTGAAGTTTTGATGAGGTTTGCATCGGCTGTAGTTGGCGCCTGGCAAACTGTGGTCCACAGGTCAAAAGCAGCCATGAATTGTGTGAATGAAGCTTACTGAAGCACAGCCACTTCCATTTCCAGCTCCTGTCCAGGGCCCCTTTTCCACCACAGCAGCAAAGCTGGTAGCTCAGGCTGCTTTGATTTCTCAGGAATATGCTGTAATTCTCTGTATGACAGTCTTAAGCATCTTTCACTAGCTTTATTCTTAGGTATTTGATATTTTTGTATTATTCTAAGTGGTATCTTTTTAGTTGAAATTTTGATTGAGATTTATTTGCATGAGGTTGTATGAAATACTATGGAGAAAATCCTTGGCTGGGCACAGTGGATCACTCCTGTAATCCCAGCACTTTGGGAGGCTGAGGCGAGTGGATCACTTAAGCCAATGAGTTTAAAATCAGCCTGGCCAACATGCTGAAACCCCATCTCTACTAAAATATAAAAATTAGCTGGGTATGGTGGCACGTGCCTGTAATCCCAGCTACTTGTGGGTGCTGAAACAGGAGAATCACTTGAATCTGGAGGCAGAGCTTTCAGTGAGCCGAGATCTGGCCACTGTACTCCAGCCTGGGTGAGAGAGTGAGACTCTGTCTCAAAAAAAAGAAAGAAAGAAAAAAGGCCCAGCACAGTGGCTTATGCCTGTAATTCCAGCATTTTAGGAAGTCAGGGAGGGCGGATCACCTGATGTCAGGAGTTTGAGACCAGCCTGGCTAACATGGTGAAACCTCATCTCTACTAAAAATATGAAAATTAGCCAGACATGGTGGTGGGCACCTGTAATCCCAGCTACTCGGGAGGCTGAGGCAGGAGAATCTCTTGAACCCAGGTGTAGAGGTTGCAGTGAGCCTCTCCTCCCCTCCCATCTCCCTCCCCCCTTCCCCCTTCTTCCCCTTTCCCCCCTCCCACTCCTTCCCCTCTCCCTCCCCCTCCTTCCCCCCTCCCTCCCCTCTCCCCCTCCCCCTCCCCTTCCCTCCCCTTCCCTTCCCCTCCCCCTCCCCCTCTCCCTCTCCCTCTCCCTCACTCTGTCACCAGTCTGGAGTGTAGTGGCATGATCTCAGCTCACTGCAATCTCTGACTTTCAGGTTCAAGTGATTCCCCTGCCTCAGCCTCCTGAGTAGCTGGGACGACAGGTGTACGCCACTAATTTTTTGTATTTTAGTAGAGATGGGGTTTCACCACGTTGGCCAGGATGGTTCTCCATCTCCTGACCTCTTGATCCACCCATTTCAGCCTCCCGAAGGGATTAGGCCAGGCTCAGTGGCTCACCCCTGTACTCCCAGCACTTTGGGAGGCCGAAACGGGCGGATCTCAAGGTCAGGAGTTCAAGACCATCCTGGCTAACATGGTGAAACCTCATCTCTACTAAAAATACAAGAAATTAGCCAGGCATGATGGCATGTGCCTGTAATCCCAGCTACTTGGGAAGCTGAGACAGGAGAATCGCTTGAACCCAGGAGACAGAGGTTGCAGTGAGCCTAGCTTATGCCACTGCACTCCAGCCTGGGCTACAGAGTGAGACTGTCTCAAAAAAAAAAAAAAGAAAGTGCTGGGATTATAGGCATCAGCCACCACTCCCAGCCCTTTTTTGGAGACAGAATCTCACTCTGTTTCCTAGGCTGGAGTGCAGTGGCATGGTCTCAGCTCACTGCAACCTCTGCCTCCTGGGTTCAAGCAGTTCTCCTGCCTCAGCCTCCGAAGTAGCTAGGATTACAGGCACCTGCCACCATGCCCAGCTAACTTTTGTACTTGAGACGAGGTTTCTCCATATTGGCCAGGCTGGTCTTGAAATCTTGACCTCAGGTGATCTGCCTGCCTCGTCCTCCCAAAGTGCTGGGATTATAGGTGAGAGGTGCAGCCTTTTTTTTTTTTAATTTTATTTTTTGAGATGGAGTCTTGCTCTGTCACCCAGGCTGCAGTGTAGTGGAGTGATCTCGGCCCATTGCACCTCTGCCTCCCAAGGTAAAGCAGTTCTCCTGCCTCAGCCTTCTGAGTAGCTGGGACTATAGGCACACACCACTGTGCCCACCTAATTTATCTATTTTTAGTAGAGACCATGTTGGCCAGCCTGGTCTTGAACTCCTGAGCTCAAGTGATCCACCTGCCTCACCTCCCAAAAGTGCCAGGATTACAGGTGTGACACCTTGCCCAGCCTGGGTTGTTGGCTTTCTTTTTAATGTTTGGAAGAATTAATGGAAGGCCATTAAACCTTGGAGTTCTCTGAATAGAGAGCCTATTAATGGTAGGTTTTGTGGGGTTTTTTGATGTTCTGGAGCTATTCTGATTTTGTTTCTTGTCAGTTTAGAAAGTATTTTAAGGAAATTTATTTTTTAAATTTGTAAAAACTGGCATAAAATTGTTTCTATTAATTTCTCATAATATGCCAGGTGTGGTGGCTCATGCTTATTATCTCAGCATTTTGGGAGGCTAAGGTGGGAGGATTCAGTGAGCTATAATCTTGCCACTGCACTCCAGCCTGGGCCACAGAGTGAGACCCTGTCTCAAAAAAAAAAAAAAAACCCTGCAAATTTCTCATCATAGTTTTTATTTCTGTAGGTCTTTAGTGATGTCCCTTGTTTCATTCTTAATATTGTATTTGCACCTTCTGTTTTGTCCTTAGTCTTTCTAGAAGTTTAATCATCCTTTTCAAAGAGTCATTTTCCTCTCCTCCTCCCCTGTGCTCTCCTCCCGCTCCTCTTCCTTCTTCCCCTTCCCTCTTTTCTCACCACTTCTTTTCCTACTCTTCCTCCTCATCGCAGCACTAAGGACTGAGGCTGAGGTCCTGCAGCCAGGTCCCCTTCTCTGTTTTCACTGTTTCCAGTGTAGGGCTGGGTCTACCCCAGCCCCCAGCCCCCAGCCCCCAGCCCAGTAGCCTGGACATAGCAGGTGCTTACCTCTGTATGCTGAGTTGAGCTGAATTTGCAGTGAGCCCAGCCTTCACCTTTTCACTGTTACCTAGGATCTGCCGTCTGAGCAGCCCACTGTGTCCACGATGGGTGCCGTGTCCCCCGTGTCCTCATACTTAGCTGTCCACACCTTGTTGGCACTGGTCATCAGCCAGCCACAGAATGCCTCTTTTTCTTTTCTAAAACCTCAGTCTTCTTTCCCTCCAACCGCTCACGGGTTGTGGTCAGCAGCTGGCGTTGTGTGCGCTCTGTGCTCCCTGGGTCTGTGTTCTCGGCCTGGGGCTGCCAGCATTGGCCATCAGCTCAGCTCAGCTCTGTCTGCATCACTCGTTTCTGTTGGAAAAATTTGAACCAGTAGGTATTGAATGGCAGCTGCTCACAGTGGCCTGTGCTACACCACCTGGGACAGCTGTGTCCTGTTGGTGCAGAGCCACAGCTGTGCCTCCCCCTGCCCAGGCCCTCACGTGCAGCACTGCCTCTAGGACTGTCTGCCTGTCCCTTGAGAGGGCTTGCTTATCATGTTGTCTGGGTCTTTCCATTATTTCTGCAGAATGTAATTAACAGTTCAACCTTGCCATGAGGGTTTTTGGAGGAGGCATCTCACGGTTGTCAGGGTCGGCCCTGCCTGCCTATCAGGTGTGTGTGATTTCAGGTGATTACATTTTTGAAGAAGAAGGACAAGTTCATCAGCCTGGTGTTGAAGCACATCGGCACTTCAGCGCTTATGGACCTGCTGCTGCGCCTGGTCAGCTGTGTGGAGCCAGCCGGGCTCCGGCAGGAAGTCCTGCACGTGAGTCTGGGAGTCTCCCCAATTCCTGAGGGCAGGGGCGTTGCAGGAAGCCAGCTGGTTAACTGCAGGAGCTCAGAGCATTGGGGCACCCAGCCCCCATCTCTCTACTCAGCATGGGGCTGCTAGGGGATCTTGTCAAGGATTGTAGCCTGTACCTTTTCCACTATCCCAACTCAACTCGCTCAGAAGCACAGAGCAGAGAGGTCCCTTCTCCCCATGGTCTCCAGCCTCCTGTTCTGTGAAGAGGCCGAAATGGAGTTTCCTGGCCTCCCTCCTTTTCCCCTGCTAGCGCCCAGCCCCGTGGCTTAGAGCAGAAGGTCAGTGAGGTGCTGGCCCTGCGTCCAGGTCTGTGCCTGCCAGGAAAGCCCTGGTGGACAGCAGTTCCCTGCAGAGCCCCATTGTCTACCCTGGAGTGTGGATACGTCTATTCTGATGGTGGTTAGTCAGTGAGAGCAGGTGCCTGTAGTCCCTGAATAGAGGAGGATGCCACCCAAAGAAGCCCAGGAAATCAGCGCTGCACAAACTTCTGCTCACTGTTTGGCCAGCTTTGTTTATGGTGAGGTTTAAAATAGAGTAGAGTAAACCTTGAGGCCCTCTGCCTGTTTCCCAGCTCCTGGAGCCAGGAATCATCCAGGTGGTCACTCTGACTCAGGTTAGTAACGCTTCCTCAGGGAGCAGCTTCTCAGCAGGAATGACTGACCATTGCCAACCTTTACGCAGTGGACACAGGATCGGCACTAGTGGTGTGGTTGTGTCGTAGCTGTGTTAGTGGGAAGCTGCATAACCGCACTCCAGGCAGGCTTTTATCTGCTTTACTTGATTCAGCTCACAAAGTAGCCATGTGGAGACAGGTCATCCCATTTTCAGATAAAGAATTTGGCACAGGGTGGCAGTGCAGGGGGGGAGCCAGGTGTGGCCCAGGCCTGCTGGACCCCTGACACTCACACTGGGCCCCTGCTGCCCTTGAGCTTTACCCCACAGTGTTCCTGTGGCTTCACCAGAGTGGATTTACCCTTTCTCATCCTGGGAAGGCCCCGATGCCGCGGGGAGCAGCTGAGGCTTCTCTGGCTTCAACATCCGGCAGGGCTCCTGGGCTTCAGCTTGTCTGGCTCATTTGCATGCTGATCCTTAGAGATAAGTCCTCAAGACAGAGCTTACATATGCACCACCAGGACACGGATAGTGGTCACTCCCTGTAATCTTTTGGGCCACTCCCAGAATTCAGTCATTATGTGTTCTTTGTGGGTCTGAACATGTTAGGCAGAGACTATTCTAGAAGACTGGGGTGCGTGGACTTCTTTCCCTTTACTTGGACTTGCACAGAGACACTGAAGGGCCTCTTTTTCTCTTTCAGTGGCTGAATGAAGAGAAAGTCATCCAGAGGCTTGTGGAATTGATCCACCCAAGTGAGGATGAAGATGTGAGTGTGCTGCTCACCGAGCCAGCTTCGTGCGTGCCAGCCCAGGCCTGCAGCTCCCGATCACCCGCCGCTGCGGGCCAAAGGAGCGAAGGAGGGGCGAGTCATTCCTTTCCTAAGATGAGGATTGGTTAGGTGTTTTTTTTCCTTTACTAAAGCACTGACTTCTAGGCTGTTTTTTGTTTTTGTTTTTGTTTTGAGACGTTTTGCTCTTGTTGCCCAGGCTGGAGTGCAGTGGTGCGATCTTGGCTCACTGCAACCTTCTCGGGTTCAAGCGATTCTCCTGCTCACCTGGGCGATTGGGCGGCATAGTGAGTGGCAATGTTTGCGAGTGGGCGACATGGCGAGTGGGCGGTGTGGCAAGTGGGCAGCATGGCAAGTAGGCGACATGGCGGATGGCAAGTGGGCAGCCTGGTGTCGAGTGGACGGTGTGGCGGGTGTCAAGTGGGTGACATGGCAAGTGTCGAGTGGGCGGCGTGGTGTCGAGTGGGCAGCATGGCGAGTGGCGAGTGGGCAGTGTGGCGAGTAGGTGGTGTGGCGAGTAGGTGCCGTGCTGAGTGTCAAGTGGGTCATGTGGCAAGTAGGTAGCGTGGCGAGTGGTGAGTGGGTGGCGTGGCAAGTGGGTGGCGTGGCAAGTGGGTGGCGTGGCAAGTGGGTGGCGTGGCAAGTGGGCGGCGTGGCAAGTGGGTGGCGTGGCAAGTGGGTGGCGTGGCAAGTGGGTGGCGTGGCAAGTGGGTGGCGTGGCAAGTGGGCAACATGGCGAGTGGGCAGCATGGCAAGTGGGTGACATGCGGCGTGGCAAGTGGCGAGTGGGTGACATGCAGCGTGGCAAGTGGCGAGTGGGTGGCGTGGTGAGTGGGCGACATGACGAGTGGTGAGTGGGTGGCGTGGCAAGTGGGTGGTGTGGCAAGTGGGCAGCATGGCGAGTGGGCAGCATGGCAAGTGGGTGACATGCGGCGTGGCAAGTGGCGAGTGGGTGGCGTTGTGAGTGGGCGACATGACGAGTGGTGAGTGGGCGGCGTGGTGAGTGGGCAGTGTGGCAAGTGGGCGACATGCGGCGTGGCAAGTGGTGAGTGGGTGGCGTGGTGAGTGGGTGACATGGCAAATGAGCCACCATGCCTGGCCTCTAGGCTGTTTGTTGTTGTTTAAATAGATATGAGGTCTCACTGAATTGCCCATGCAGGCCTCAAATACCTGGCCTCAAGTGATCCTCCTACCTTAGCCTCTTAAAGTGCTGTGATTACAGGAGTGAGCCACTGTACCTGGCCTAGGCTTTTTCTTTTTAACTGAAAACTAATATACGGGTATTATAAAAGCAATTCTAGGATGGGCATGGTGGCTCATGGCTGAAATCCCAGCACTTTGGGAGGCCAAGGAGGGCATATCACTTGAGGTCAGGAGTTTGAGACCAGCCTGGCCAGGCATGGTGAAAGGTGCCTGTAACACCAGCCACTCAGGAGGCTGAGGCACCAAGAATCACTTGAACCCAGGAAGGGGAGATTGCAGTGAGCTGAGATCACACCACTGTGCTCCAGCCTGGGTGACAGCGAGACTCTGTCTCAAAAAAACAAACCAGCAAGGTGTGGTGGCTCACACCTGTAATCCCAGCATTTTGGGAGGCCAAGGCAGGTGGATCACAAGGTCAGGAGTTTGAGACCAGCCTGACCAACATGGTGAAACCCCATCTCTACTAAAAATGCAAAAATTGGCCCAGCATGGTGGCATGTTCCTGTAATCCCAGCAACTCGGGAAGCTGAGGCAGGATAATTGCTTGAACCCAGGAGCTGAAGGTTGCAGTAAGCTGAGAGAGTGCCACTGCACTACAGCCTACACGACAGAGTGCGAATCTGTCTAAAAAAAAAAAAAACGAACCAAAGAACAGTTCTACTAGAATTGTATTATTCATCTGTAACTGAATAGCACATTACCCTGAAACAGTTGCTATTGCTGTGGCAAGTCTTCTTTGTCTGTAGCAGTGTCAGTTTCTGTGGGTCAGGCATCTGAATGTGGCCTTGTGGCTCTTCTGCTCAGGCTCTCACAAAACTGCAGTCATCTCAGAGCTCCACTGGGGAAGAGGCCAGTTCCATGGTCACGGAGGGCTTGGCAGCATCCAGTTCCTCAGGGCTGTCAGTGAGGCCGCCCTCAGCATTGCACACGTGGCATCTCCACTGGGCAGCACACGACATGGCAGCTGATCTTTCCCTCACTCTCACTGTTGCTCTTCAGACCTGGGTGGCTGGGTCCAGCCCACACAAAAAGGTGGGGCTTATAGGGTCATGAACTCCAGGAGAGGATCACTAGGGGACCCCTAGAAGCCACCCACCCTGGAAGTTCCTAAGGTGATACTGGGGCTTCCTCTGGTAATTCCTGTTGAGAGTTGGGGATGTATCCCAGCAGGCCTTTTCCTACGCACTACATATATCTGTCTGTACACAGAACCATAGAGTCCTTGGCAGACTTGAACACAGTGCTGACTCGCGTCTGAGGCCTTCACTGATGCCTGGCCAGCCTGCTTTGTTCTCCATTAGCCCACAGGGCTGACCAGGCAGATGGGAGAGGCCACCCTGCCTCAGAACCAGAGCCCACCCCTGCATGTGGGTGTCGTGTTGATGGCCTGTCCTGGGCCCCACAGGCAGACCGCAGAGCCAACCTGGCTGCTTTCTTTTCTCCCTAAAATACTCCTGTGAGCATGTGAAGCAGAGCTGTGGGGAGTCGGGTTGTGTTTCTCTCTAACCACCTTTGTCTTCACAGGACTTGATCTGCATAATGGCAGCTCCTTTTATTACATATAAAATACAGTACCAATAACATGGCCACATATTCAGTATATGTCAGATATTTCCGCGCTGCACATCTGACGATTATTAACCTTGTTTTGAATTCCTGAAGATCGTTCAATACAACTGAAAAAAAAATCTAACTAGATACATGTTCTGACCATGGAAAAGGCAGACACAGACTTCTTTGAAATTAAGCTGTTGTCTGGAATCTTTAGGAAGAATGGTTTAGAGAAAGTTCCACATCTTAAAAATAAATGAAAAAGAATTTGAACATCACGATTATATTGAACAACAAAAGTTCCTCATCTCCCAGAGGAGCCAGTGGCAGGGCTCACACCCTGCGTGCCCAGTGGCTGGTCCTGCTGTTTCTTCTCCACACTGATGGGCTCTGTGCCTCCCTTGTCTTTCCAGAGGCAGTCGAATGCTGCTCAGACTCTCTGTGACATTGTTAGGTTGGGCAGAGACCAGGGCAGTCAGCTGCAAGAGGCTCTGGAGCCAGACCCCCTCCTCACAGCGCTGGAGTCGTGAGTGCTGGTGGGCCGTGGTGCTGGTGGGCCTCCCTTTCTGGGTCATGGGGACATCTCTGAGCCCTGCTCTGAGCACCAGGATGTGCTGCCACCTCCTCTGATTCACATTCTGATGAGCTGGTTGTGGAATGAGCCCCACGTTCAGAGCCCATGTTAACTTGGGGCCTGTTTCCAGAGAGCAGGTCTAGAGTGTGGGTCAGCAGCAGCTGGAATGTCGTGAGAACCCCGGCTCCTGGCCTTGAGCCTGAGCAGGTTTAGGGTTTTGCTGGGGTTCTCCATGGGGAAGAAGGACCATCCTTGCCTCCTTTGTGTGTGTGTCTGCCTTGCCAGGCAGTGACCTCTGTGTGTGTCCAGCAGGCAGGATTGTGTGGAGCAGCTTCTGAAGAACATGTTTGACGGGGACAGGACAGAGAGCTGCCTCGTCAGCGGGACTCAGGTGTTACTCACCTTGCTGGAAACCAGGCGGATTGGGTGAGTCTCTCTCACGGAGAAATTGTGTAGAGCTAAACTCGATGCTACAGTGATATGGGACTCAGGTGTTACCTTGCTGGAAACCAAGTGGGTTGGGTGAGTCTTGGGAGGAGAAATCGTACAGTGCTGAACACTTCATGATACGGCAGCCCACATGAGTAGTCAGGATCGTGTGGTTTGTGATTAATTTTTGATTATGCAAGTCATAACATGGATAGACTCCCCTTGTTGGAAGGTTGACTTTCAAGTTTCCTTGCACCCTCATTGTCACTGCTGCTTCCACTCCAGTGCGAAGGTGCTTGTCGAGGCCAGTTGGCGACGCACGTGTCGGCGTGTGTGGGACAGGTGGCGACGCACGTGTCGGTGTGTGTGGGACAGCTGGCGACGCATCTGTCGGCCTGTGTGGGACAGGTGGCGACGCACGTGTCGGCCTGTGTGGGACAGGTGGCGACGCACGTGTCGGCCTGTGTGTGGGACAGGTGGCGACGCATCTGTCGGCCTGTGTGGGACAGGTGGCGACGCACGTGTCGGCCTGTGTGTGGGACAGGTGGCGACGCATCTGTCGGCCTGTGTGGGACAGGTGGCGACGCACGTGTCGGCCTGTGTGTGGGACAGGTGGCGACGCACGTGTCGGCGTGTGTGGGACAGGTGGCGACGCACGTGTCGGCGTGTGTGGGACAGCTGGCGATGCATCTTTCGGCCTGTGTGGGACAGGTGCTGATGCATTTGTCGGTGTGTGTGGGACAGGTGTGGTTAGCAGGTTTTCCCCAAGGACTGTTCGACAAGTCCCCACAGCTTTGTGTGTGTGTGTGTGTGTGTGTGTGTGTGTGTGTGTGTGTGTGTGTTTTGCAGGGTTTCCACTCTGGCGCACGGTTGTGTGTATATGTGTTTGTCTCCCATGCAGACTTTCCCTCACAGGGTGCGGGTGTGCCATTCACCGCTGTCTCCCCAGTCCCATGCACCCATGGGCCAGCACCACCTGCTGAGCATCATGCTGAGCACTTTGTTCCCAAGTGACTGGCCTCCACTGCACTTTCCCATTCATCAGGTGTCATTTCTACACCCACTGTGCACTGACACAGGCCCTAGGAGACAGAGAACTGAGACACAGCTCCCCCCCTTTATTGCTCCCAGTATGACAGTGGGGAGTGCAGTCTACATGTACCCTGTGCCTCCGGGCTCACAAGAAGGGGGGACGCACATGGGCCAGTGGATGGAGCCTCACAGATCAGGGACTTTTTCCCTGGGAGGCTGCATATGGCCAGAGACAGCCCCTGGAGTGAGACAGTGAGGAGGTCCAGTGTGGACACAAGCGTGGGACAATACGTGGGCAGGGGTGAGTGGAGCTTGTTTGGAGGAGCTCCTTTGCTGTGACCCCACACTGCCGTCAGTGCAGGTGCAGCTGTTGAAGCTCTGGCGAGGCATGACAGTGAATGGGCAGAGACAGACTAGATAGTATCAGAAGGGGGTTCAGGTGAAAGTTGAGTTCCTTTGAGGATATAGGTGCTGGAGACCCTTCTTGGACCCCAGGTGGAAATTTCAGGAAGTGTTTGAAACTGTTGCTCTGGATCACAGTGGGGGCTGGTCCTGCCCTCACAGATCATAGAAGACTGGGCACTGCCAGAGCCACTGAAGCACTTGAAACTCTGAGGAGGATGCCCATGAGGTGCAAATGGACAGACAGCCGAGTGGAGAGTCTGTGAGGGAGGCATTGGGATGGGGGGGTGCCTGGGAGACCAAAAGGAGCACATCAGTGCTCTCTGCCACTTTCCCTCCTGGCCTCCTGCTGGCCCTTGAACCCCATCCTTGAATTCAGATTCCCCACATGCCAGCAGGAACCTGAAGTCTGCAGGATGTTTCTGTCAGCTCCGTTCCATCATGAGCTGTGATGATGTCTAACTCTACCACGGTGGCCATAGTACCCTTATTTCCAAGTTCTGGGGAGAACATCATTCCGCCCCCAACACCGATAGCCTGTGCTTTTTTAAAGTAAAGGAAAAAGGCACAATAGAAAAATGACAAGAAATTGACTTAACTTTGGTAGTGAAATTGTTAGGACTTCCCCTCCCTCTCACCCTCCCTCCCTCCCTCCCTCTCGTACTACCTCATACATATTTGTTAGTTTATTAACCAAAAGTAGAGTTATAATGTTATTGTTTCTCTAGTTGGGCAACTGGAATATTGATTTTTTTTTTTTTTTTTGAGACAGAGTTTTGCTCTTGTTACCCAGGCTGGAGTGCAATGGCGCGATCTCGGCTCACCACAACCTCTGCCTCCTGGGTTCAGGCAATTCTCCTGCCTCAGCCTCCCGAGTAGCTGAGATTTTAGGCGCGTGCCACCATGCCCAGCTAATTTTTTGTATTTTTAGTAGAGACGGGGTTTCACCATGTTGACCAGGATGGTCTCGATCTCTTGACCTTGTGATCCACCCGCCTTGGCCTCCCAAAGTGATGGGATTACAGGCGTGAGCCACCACGCCCGGCCCCGATTATGTATTACTTTTACAACTGGAAAAAGTGTTTTAAAAATATCTCAGAAGACTTGCTTGAAAACACCACAGGGACCAGGCGTGGTCACTGACACCTGTAATCCCAGCACTTTGGGAGGCTGAGGCGGGTGGATCACCTGAGGTCAGGCGATCAAGACCAGCCTGGCCAATGTGGCGAAGCCCCGTCTCTACTAAAAATACAAAAATTAGCTGGGGGTAGTGTCAGGCATCTGTAATCGCAGCTACTCAGGAGGCTGAGGCAGGAGAATTGCTTGAACGCCGGAGCCAGAGGTTGCAGTGAGCCAAGATCGCACCACTGTACTTCAGCCTGGGCAACAGAGTGAGACTCTGGCTCAAGACCACCACCACACAGGAACAGTGAAGATACAGGGTTAGCAGTGGCGCTTTTCAAAGCAGGAGGACAGAGCAGCCCCCCGATGTGCTGGGGGCAACGGGCAGTGAGTTCTGTGTCACTTGCCCTGGCTTCATGTTCTTGGACGTCACAAGCAAGTGTTTTCCTGAAGGTCTTTAGTGCCTTTCTCTTCTGCCTGTACCAGTCACCAGATCGTGTGTGGAGGCCTTCAGTCGTTGCACTCCTCTAGGATTTCTTTTTGGGAAAGTTAAAAGAGCTTTTTCTGGAAGACGATGATGCGCTGAGTTGCTGGTGAAGTTGGAACGGGCCCTGGTGTCCCCAGTCTCCATCTGCTTTCCTCACCCACAGGACAGAGGGCTTGGTGGACTCCTTTTCTCAGGGACTGGAAAGGTCGTACACTGTCAGCAGCAGCGTGCTACACGGCATCGAGCCTCGGCTGAAGGACTTCCACCAGCTCCTGCTCAACCCACCCAAGGTAAATGGCCATGGTGACTGCCGAGCACCTTTGGAGGCATCGCGGGAGAGGATGATTTGCAGGGAGAGGAATCCACAGCTTGTCCCACAGGAAGCAGTGTGTGGAGTGAATGTGTTCTAAGATGGCCATTCCCACACCCCTACTTGAGAAGCACCCGGCAGATGCCAAAACACACGTTTTCAGGACTGCTCCCCTGCTCGATCTGCAAATGTTCATCTCTGCGTCTGCAAGGGAGGCCTGGGAGTTGTACATTTTACAGCCTCCCCAGGCAGCTGACCCTGAGTTCACCATAGGCCTAGCCTCCAAGTTGGGGGCATCTGGCTAAGGGATGCTCAGCTCCTGAGAGGGGACCAGGGGGTTTCAGGGGAGGCCCTTTGCCCCATTCAGCAGCACTGGTTGGTGCGTGGGTCCTGTTGAGGAGGGTGAAGCACACAAAGGCTCCTTCCAGCTCAAGACTGCCAGCCAGGCTGCCCCCCCATCCCATCTCACCCTCCCCAGACACAGGCAGGCTGCCCCCACATTTTTTCTCACCTTCCCCAGACACAGCCCCACCACTGCTGCGTGGCACCCACTTGACCTACAGCTCAGTTCCTCTCACTTGCCACTTTGGTAAGATCCACCTGCCCCACTAGTAAGCTCCGTGGGGGCCGGGATTCTGTTTTGTCAGCCTGGAGCCTTCAGTGAAAAGATGGTAGATGTGTTATGCTGAGTGTGGGGGATCAGAAAGACCTGAGGCCCATCCAAGGAGGCATTCTCATCAGTGTCCCCAAAGTGTGTTCACAGGACACCTGTTAACTTGGTGTTCTGAAGTCCTGTCCCTGGAGGGTGCCCCGTGGACATCCTCACCGAGGCATCGTGCCAGGGGTTCTGGCCTCTGACTGGTACTGCTGGCCCCATCTTGGACGTCTCACCCACCAAGGTGCACGGCTCTGTAGCCCTGCAGGCTCAGACTGGAGTGCCCATGAGCATTCTAGGAGCGCTCTGTGAAGCCCTGAGGGGAACAGCCGGCCCTTCACCCCATTGATCCCTTCATTTCTTCTGGCAGACAGCCCTCCCTCAGGAACCCCCACCACATACCTCACTCACCTGGAGTGGTGGGCATGAGCCTAGAGAGTCCACCAGTGGCCTCACTGCCCACGGGACCTAACTGGGTGGTGCTGTCTGTGTTTGCAGAAGAAAGCGATCCTGACCACCATCGGTGTGCTGGAGGAGCCCCTGGGGAATGCCCGCCTGCATGGCGCCCGTCTCATGGCAGCACTGCTGCACACAAACACACCCAGCATCAACCAGGAGCTCTGCCGGCTCAACACCATGGACTTGCTGCTGGTAAGTGGCCCTCAGCCGGCCCTGCATGTCAGTGAGTGCGCCAGGCGCAGCCTGTGGACCTGTCAGGAGCAGCAGAGCAGGGCCCTGGTATTTGGACAGAGCTCTGCCAAGGGGAGGTCTCAGTCCCAAGTCCCTGGTGGGGCCTGGAGCAGCAGTGGGGTACGCCTCCGCCACAGTAGAGGCATGGAAAGTGATGAGTCTTCTGTCGAATTGGCCTGAAAACAGGGCAGATTTCTAACCCTGGTGGGTGGAATCTACCTGCTTCCTCATGTTCTGACAGAACAACATGGAACTTACACAGTGGTTATTAGGTATAAAACATGCGAAAAGAGAAGCTCCTGTCTTCCATAATGGAAGGTCACCCTGGCAGTTTCTGTCAAAGCCCGTGGGCAGTGCTTCTCCACCCCGCAGACGGCCTGCAAGATGCTCCGGGTGTCTGAGGAGAGGAATGGGCAGGCGGGCAGTGCTGGCTGAGGGGAGCAGGCTTCCCTGAGAGCAAGGGCACGACCCTAGTGGGTCCTGTTGGCAGATGAAGCCCCCCTCTTCTGCCTGGCTCTGGGACTCTACTGGAGTCTCTCTGCAGGCTTAGTCCCAGGGTGAGCCTCAGTGCTGGGCCTGAAGCACTGTCTGTCTAGAGGTTCTGTTAGCGTTGAGAAGTTCTGGGCTCTGCTGTGGCTGTCAGAGCCCAGTCTGCCTCCGGGGAGCAATTATAAAAGGCCTACTTCCTTTCCCTCTTCAGAACTCTCTCTTCCACTTCCTTCCTCCCTTTTATATATGCTGTGGTAAAATATCATAACATAAACTCTGCTGTTTTAACTATTTTAAGGAGTATAATTCAGTGCATTCACAATCTTGTGTAGCCATTACAGCTATCCGTGTCTAGAGGTTTTTTTCTCCATTAAGCACTAACTCCCCGTTCATTCTTCCTCTCCACAGCCTCTGGCAACCACTGTTCTCCTTTCTGTCTCTGAATTTGACTATTTTAGGTACAGTTTATAAGTGGAATCATAAAGTATTATCTTTCTGTGACTGACTGACTTCACTTAGCATTATGTGCCCAGGGTTCATTCTGTATTGTAGTATATGTCAAAATTTCTTTCCTTTTCAAGGCTGAATAATTATTAAATGGGGGGGGGCACCTTCTGTCCATTGTGGACAGTTGGGTTGCTTCCACCCTTAGCTATTGTGAATAAGGCTGCTATATTCGTGAGTGTAGAAATACCTGAAAGGAAGAACATCCTTTCCATTTTGGATAAATACCTGTGAATGAAATTGCAAGGTCATATGACAATTCTGTGGTTAATTCTTGAGGAACAGCCAAGATTTTCCACAGTGGCTGCACCATTTTATCTTCCTGTCAGCAGTGCACAAGGTTCCCATTCCTCCACATCCTCGCCCACATCCCTGCCAACACTTGTTTTCCTTCTTCTGATAATAGTCGTCCTGATACGGATGTGAAATGGTGTCTCCTTGTGATTTTGATTTGCATTCCCCTCCCCTCAGGATTTTCATCTGCTCGTTGGCCATTTGTATATTTTCGTTGGAGAAATGCCTATCCAAGTCCTTTGACCATTTCTGAATTGAGGGTTTTTTTTTTAGTTGTAGAAGTTCTTTATATATTCTGGATATTAATCCTTTATCAGATATATGCAAATATTTTCTTCTTTTCTTTGGGTTATCTTTTTACATAAAAAATTTTTTTAGAGGTAGGGTCTTTTTTTTTTTTTTTGAGATGGAGTTTCGCTCTTGTTACCCAGGCTGGAGTGCAATGGCACGATCTCGGCTCACCACAACCTCCGCCTCCTGGGTTCAGGCAATTCTCCTGCCTCAGCGTCCTGAGTAGCTGGGATTACAGGCACGCGCCACCATGCCCAGCTAATTTTTGTATTTTTAGTAGAGACGGGGTTTCACCATGTTGACCAGGATGGTCTCGATCTCTTGACCTCATGATCCACCTGCCTCGGCCTCCCAAAGCGCTGGGATTACAGGCCTGAGCCACCGCGCCCGGCGAGGTAGCGTCTTGCAGTACCGTGATCATAGCTCCCTGTAACCTTCAACTCCTGGGCTGAAGTGATTCTCCCACCTCAGCCTCCTGAGTTGCTAGGACTCCAGGCATGCACCACCACGTCCAGCTAATTTTTAAATTTTTTGTAGAGATGGGGTCTCACTATGTTGACCAGGTTGGTCTTGAGCTCCTGACTTCAAGTGGTGCTCCAGCCTTGGCCTCCCAAAGTGCTGGAATTACAGGCATGAGCCACCAGCCACCCATCCTTGACTCCTGTGATGATGATCTTTGACACACAAGTTTTAAATTTTGATGAAATCCAATTTATCTTTTTCTCTTTGTTGCCTGTGCTTTCGGTGTCATATCCAAAACGTCATCGCCAGATCCAGCATCACGAAGCTTTCCTCTGTGAGCCCTTTAGCAAGTTTTATGTTTTCTCCCTTAGGGTTAGGACTTTGGTCCATTTTGAATTAATTTTTATATCTGGTATAAGGTAAGGGTCCAGCTTCATTATTTTGCATTGGGGTTACCAGTTTTCACAGCACTTGGTGAAAAGACTGTCCTAGGCTGGGCACAGTGGCTTATGCCTGTAATCCCAGCACTTTGGGATGCCAAGGCACGCAGATCACCTGAGGTCAGGAGTTCATGACCAGCCTGACCAAGATGGTAAAACCCCATTTCTACTTAAAAAAATACAAAAATCAGCCAGGCACAGTGGCAGGCACCCATAATCTCGGCTACTTGGGAGGCTGAGGCAGGAGAATCTAGGAGGCGGAGGTTGCAGTGAGCTGAGATCATGCCACTGTACTGTAACCTGGGTGACAGAGCAAAACTCCATCTCAAAAAAAAATAAAAAGAAAAAAAAGACTGTCCTTTCACACATGAATGGTCTCAGCCAACTTGTTAAAAACCAGTTGGCTGAGTGTGCGAAGGTTTCTTTCTGTACTGTCTGTTCAATTCCATTGGTTTATGTCTGTCCTTACGCCAGTGCCACACTGTTTTGGTGACTGTAGCTTTGTAGTAAGTGTTAAGTGTGAGTTCTCCAACTTCGTTCTTGTCCAAGATTGTTGTGGCTCTTCAGTCATCGCTTGAGATTCTGTATGAGTTTGGGGATGGATTTTTCAAGTTTTGCAAAAATGCTATTGAAATTTTGGTAGAGATTATGTTGAATTTCTAGATCACTTTGGGCAATACTGTCTTCTTAACAATATTAAGTCTTCGATCCATGAACACAGATGTCTTCCATTTATTTATTTATATTGTTGAGACAGTCTTACTCTGTCACCCACGCTGGAATGCAGTGGCTCAATCTCACTGCAACCTCCGCTTCCTGGGTTCAAACAATTCTTCTGCATCAGCCTCCTGCGTAGCTGGGATTACAGGTGCACGCCACCACAAAATAATTTTTGTATGTCTAGGAGAGACAGGGTTTCACCATGTGGGCCAGGTTGGTCTCAAACTCCTGACCTCAAGTGATCTGCCCGCCTCGGCCTCCCAAAGTGCTGGGATTACAGGCATGAGCCACCATGGCTGCCCCTTTTACTCTAAATAGGTCTTTACATTCTTGTGGCAGTGTTTTACTGTTTTCAGTGTGCCAGCCTTTTGTCTCCTTGACTTTCTTCTTTTGGATGCCATCATATATAAAATTGTTTTCTTACTTTTGTTGTTGCTGTTGTTGATTATTCAGTGCTAGTGTATGGAAATGCAACTTTTTTTTTCCTAGATGGCTTCTCGCTGTGCCGCCCAGGCTGGAGTGCAGTGGCACAATCTTGGCTCACTGCAACCTCCACCTCCTGGTGCTTCAAGCAAGTCTCTGCCTCAGCCTCCCGAGTAGCTGGGATCACACGCACCCACCATCACACCTGGCTAATTTTTGTATTTTTACTAGAGACAGGTTTCACCACGTTGGCCAGGCTACTTTCAAACTCCTGACATCCTGATCCACCCACCTTGCCCTCCCAAAGTCTGGGGTTACAGGCGTGACCAACCTGCCTGGCCCTCACAACTGCTTTTTTGTGTGTGTCACTTTTGTATCCTAGAACTTTGCTGAATTTCTTTATTAGCTCTAGCGATTTATGTGGAATATTTAGAATTATCTATGTATAAGATTGTATCAGGAGAGGTGTGGTGACTTGTGTTTGTGATCCAGCACTTTGGGAGGCCTAAATTGGAGGATTGCTTGAACTCAGGAGTTTAAGACCAGCCTGGGCAGCAGAGTGCAGCCTTGTCTGTACAAAGTAAATAAGAATAAAAATTAGCCAGGTGTGGTGCACAGGTCTGTAGCCCAGCTATTCAGGAGACTGAAGAGAGAGGATCGCTTGAGCCTGGGAGGTCAAGGCTGCAGTGAGCTGAGATCATGCAGCTGTGTGCGCTCCAACCAGGGCAACAGAGCAAGACCCTTGCTGAAAAAAAGGAAGAAAAGAAAAAGGCCAGGCACGGTGGCTCATGCCTGTAATCCCAGCGCTTTGGGAGGCCAAGGCAGGCGGATCACAAAGTCAGAAGTTCAAGACCAGCCTGGCCAACATGGTGAAACCCTGTCTCTACTAAAAATACAAAAATGACCTGGACTTAGTGGCACATACCTGTGGTCCCAGCTACTCAGGAAACTGAGGCAGGAGAACTGCTTGAATCCAGGAGGCGGAGGTTCCAGTGAGTGGAGATTGCACCATTGTACTCCAGCCTGAGCGACAGAGCAAAACTCCATCTCAAAAAAAAGAAAAAAAGAAAAAGGAAAGAAATACGAACTCTAAAAAAAATGTTATTTGGAAACAAAAGTGATTTGACTTCCTCCTTTCCCATTTGGGTGCCTTTTCTTTCTTTTTCTTGCCTAATTGCTCTGATGAGGACTTAGAAGACTGAACAGAAGCGGCGAGAGGGGGCTTCCTTGTCTTGCTCCTGATCTGAGAGAAATTTTCAGTCGTTCAGCACTGAATATGTTGTCAGCTATGGGCTTTTCATAGGTGCCTTTATCATATGGAAGACGTTTTCTTCTATTCCTAGTTTCAGTGTTTTATCAAGAAATTATGTTGAATTTTTTTTTTTTTTTAAGAGGGAGTCTTACTCTTGTTGCCCAGGTTGGAGTGCAGTGTCGTGATCTTGGCTCACTGCAACCTCTGCCTCTGGGCTCAAGTGATTCTCCTGTCTCAGCCTCCAGAGTAGCTGGGATGATAGGCCCTGCCACCACGCCCAGGTCATTTTTGTATTTTCAGTAGAGGCAGGGTTTCACATGTTGGCCAGGCTGGTCTCGGACTCCTGACCTCAGGTGATCCACCTGCCTTGGCCTCCCAAAGTGCTGGGATTACAGGCATGAGCCACCACACCTGACTGTACGTGGAATTTTATCAGGGTTTTTTTTGGTATCAATTGAGATATGATCATTTGGCTTTTGTCCTTTATCCTGTTAATGTGGCATACTGATTGATTTTCATATGTTGAACCATCCTTGCATTTGAGGAACTAATCCCACTTTGTCCTGATGGATAATTCTTTTGATATGATGCCAAATTTGATTAGCTAGTATTTTACATCAGTGTTCATAAGGAATATCGTAATTTTCTTGTAGTGCCCTTGTCTGGCTTTGGTGTCGAGGTAATGCTGTCCTTATGGAGTGAATTAGAAAGTGTTCTCTCCTCTTCAGTTTTTTGGAAGAGTTTGAGGAGGACTGGTGTTAACTCTTCTTTAAATGTTTGGTAGACCTCATCGCCAGGAAATGAAAAACCACCAGCACCAAATAAATGTTTAGTAGAAGTTACCAGCAAAGCCGTCTGGTCTGGGCTTTTCTTTGTTGAGGGGTAGGTCTGACTCCATGTTATAGATGAGGTAACAGTTAAGCCTCCTCCAAGGTTGCTCAAGGTCACGTGGGCAGAGAAGGTGAAGCCAAGATTTGGGACTGGGTTTCTGTGGAGAAGTACATCAAGCAGATGAGCCTCCTGCCTTTCTCTAGCTTCAACCCTGCCGTGTGGAGCAAGGGGCCCAAGCTGATATCCCGGCATGGAATGTACAGCTCACCCCAGTCTGTCTCCATACAGTCCTCCTGCTCCACAGGGGCAGAAGAGGGTCTGGGGCACAGGCTGCCATGGCCCCTGGAGTGTAAGAGGTGGCAGTGGGGGGCAAGTGGGTCAGACCTGTGTCCCCCTGTCTGTCCTGGTCTGGAAGAGGCTACATGGGAGGTGAGAGACAGCAGCTGTCCTCATTCAGCCACCTCTGTCCCCCAGGGGAGTGCCTAGGTGGCCAGAAAGACCTCCTCTGGGCTTTAGCCCATGCTGCTTAGCTGCGGGCTCCCTTGGGGATTGTCTGAATGTGCACCTCACAGTCTCACGTTTGTGCGATGATGTGCACAAGCCTGCCCATTCTGGGTGGAATCATCCTGTGCTTGAGAGTCTTAACACACTTCTAATAACTCGCGAGAAAGAATCATAAAGGAACTTTTCAAATACTTATAACTGAAGAATAATAAAAATACCACGTAGTAAAATGCATAGAATGTAGTTAAAGTTGATTGTGTACAGGGAAACGTACAGCCTTTTAAAGACAGACTGGAAGAGAAGGGTACAGATCAATGAGTTAAGCTTCCAACTTAAGGACAAAAGAGGCCAGGCGTGGTGGCTCACACCTGTAATCCCAGCACTTTGGGAGGCTGAGGCAGGCAAATCACCTGAAATCAGGAGTTCAAGACCAGCCTGACCAACATGGCAAAAACCCGTATCTACTAAAAATACAAAAATTAGCTGGGCATGGTGGCAGGTGCCTGTAATCCCAGTTACTCAGGAGGCTGAGGCTGGAGAATTGCTTGAATCCAGGAGGCGGAGGTTGCAGTGAGCCAAGATTACGCCACTGCACTCCAGCCTGGGCGACCCAGCGAGACTCCATCTCAAAACAAAAAACAAGCAAAAGAAAAAAAAAGAATAAACCCACATAAAGTAGAAAGAAGACTGATTATTCACATTGGGGCAGGTTGGAGCAGAGACAGAAAGACCCACAGGCAGAAGATGGAAGTGCTCAGTGGCTGTTTGAAGAAGCTCCGTAACAGAGAGATGAGCCTCAGGAAAATGCCTCAAACTCTTCCCTGGGTGCCCAGAGACTGGGCTCCTGAGGAGTTAGGAGCCACCTTAGGAAGAGTTTCCGTCTGCTCTGTGGTTCAGCTGGCCGGAGAAAGCCAGTCTAAGAACCGTCTTCTGTCCTCTGTCTGTCCAGGACTTGTTTTTTAAGTACACCTGGAATAACTTTTTGCACTTCCAAGTGGAGCTATGCATAGCCGCTATTCTCTCCCACGCTGCCCATGAGGAGAGAACAGAAGCCAGCGGATCCGACAGCGGGGCGGAGCCTCCGCGTGAGAATGGGAACCGGAGCCTGGAGACCCCCCAGCTTGCCACCAGCCCCCCTGACAGCACGATGGTGACCCATGTGAGTCCCAGCACCATCCAGCTCATCGGCACGGGCTGCGCCCCACTCAGACCGTGTCCATGTCAGTGTTGACGGGTGCCAGGCCTCCATGTGTAGCTGACATGGAGGCAGGGCTTGGAAAAGGGTCCCCAGGTGTAGTCAGAGGCTCATAGACAGTGGGGCTGGAGTGGGTCCTGCGGGTCTCATTCTCACCTGCCTTTAGCAGGGGTTCTGGGTGCCTTCTGTGTGCAAGGCTGGCAGGAGTGAGCACTGGGTGGATTGGGTCCAGTCTGGCCTGCAGCTGGAAGCCCAGGGAATAAACACCAGGGGGCCAGTAGTGTCAGTAATGGGAGCCACATGATGGGGAGGGTGGTGTTCAGGGACACGCAGGCCAACCAGGGACCCTCACCCAGATAGCAAGGCCACAGGCATATTGTAGTATAAGGTGGAGCCCAGGAAAAACATCCCCGGTACAAGAAATGGTCTGTGTCAGGACCTGGAGGTGAGAAAGGGCTGACAGCCATAGTCGTTCCTTCTGGACACGGAGGAGGGGGTGGGGGGCAGTGGAGAGACGGAGGGGAGGCCCAGGGGAAGACGGGGTCCGGGGCAATTCCAGGGATTGGAGAAGGGAGAGGGTCCTTTTCTTCAGGGCGCTCAGCAGTGTGAGCCCCTGAGCAGCACCCTCCTCTGGTGTTTGGTGAAGACCACGGAGGCTGGGGCTGGGCGTGTGCAGCAGGTACAGGGCAGAGTCCCCACAGACTCCATCGCTGCATCCCAGCCCTGCCCAGTCTGGGGATGGGTGGAGGAGACCACGTGCCTCCTTCAAACCCTGACTTGTGCTGCCTGCTCCCAGCTGTTCCAGAAGTGCTGCCTGGTGCAGAGGATCCTGGAGGCCTGGGAAGCCAACGACCACACGCAGTAAGAGCTGCTCGGACACAGAGGGACCCAGCCTAGTCAGTCAGGGACGCGGAGACGCACTTCACCCAGGCGTGGGTGATGCTGCGTGTGGAACCGCAGGCTTGGGTGCAGCGTCGGGTGTGCAACACAGCTCCATGCTCTTCGGCCACTGTGCAAGGGGCCCTCCTGCCGGGCGGACAGCTGCAAATGCTACTTGGGGAGGGAACAGACGGGGAACAGACAGGACTAGGTCCCGTCCCCACCAGGCCCCTGCTCTGGCCCCTGCCCAGCTGGCTGCCTGGGCTCTGCCCTCGCGCGGGTTCCCCAGTAACTTGGCGCTCTGTCAGCACTCGCACGGGGACACGTTCCTTGGGTCTTCCCATGTCTTCTGCTTGACGGGTGTTCCCGCTAGCCAGGACAAGTGTCCTGCTGATGATCCTGGGCCCAGGCCATCCCCTCTCGTCGGTTGTCCTGCTGGGAGCTGGGAGGGGTCTGAGTGCAGCTGTGGGGAAACAGGGAGGCTGAGCCTGTGTGGAGGTCTCTCCCACCTGCGCCTCCCGTTGGGTGCTGAACCTGAGCTTTGCAGCTGACAGTGTGGGCTCACCTTCTGCACCACCGCTGCCTCCAGCGGGGCTTAGGCCACGGCACGGCCTTTCTGCCTCCACTTCCTTTTCTGTACAGTGGGGTGAGAGCAGTGTCTGTCTCCTCATCTGTCTCAGTGGCACTTTGGGTAGTGAGATTGGGATGAGCCTGCTGCCCCTGGCAGGTGCTGCTGAAACAGAAGCATCTGGAGGCAGGGCCGGGGGTGTGGGTGCCGGGCAAGGGCTGTGCACTTGCTCTGGAAGTGAACCTGGAGGCCTGTGCCACGTGGCTCTCCGGGTCACAAGTCTGGCAAGGCTGGGGCCAGGTGGCCGCCCTGAATGGTGCCCGTTGCTTTCAGGGCAGCGGGTGGCATGAGGCGTGGGAACATGGGCCACCTCACGCGGATCGCCAACGCGGTGGTGCAGAACCTGGAGCGGGGCCCTGTGCAGACACACATCAGCGAGGTCATCCGAGGTGAGCCCCCCCACCCGGTCACCCTTCTGCTGGTTACGGGCACTGGAGCCCTGAAGGAGCTGCCGCCTGAGGCTGTCCTCTGCCCATCAGCAGGTGCTGACTGCACTGACAGACTGTGCAGCCGTCTCTGTCCTCTCACCTTCCCACTTCAGATCTCTTCTCAGGGGGCCTGGGTCTCGTGTGTTGGTTCTGTTGGCAGACATCTGTGGAGGCCCTGCCAGGCATCAGACGCATGTGGCACAGGGGACTCAGTCCCTGCCGGGGGCAGTTGGTGGCTCTGGAGCTGATGTGCAGAAGCCATTAGGGCCTCCAGGCTCCTTGCAGCTCATGGAGTCCTGTCTGGGTGCCGGCAGTCCTGGCCATGTGCCAGCTTTACTCTACTCGGGTGGCTGGCGAGTTTCACTCTCACTCTGGTGTGAGACGTGGTGGCACCCTGTTTCCTAAGGGCTCAGCGGGTTAGGTGGGTGCAGGCACAGCACAGGTGGCAGAGGTGGGCCTAGCCGCGGCCCCTCCTTTCTGTACGGTGTAAGGTGAGGAAACTCTGGATGCTCCTCCCTGCACCCCAGGCCAATGGGCAAGGGGCTTCCTGGGTTCGAGGTCAGGCCTGCTGGGCATCATCAAAACAGCTTCCCCACATCCTAGAGGGCAAAACGTGGGTGGAGGTAGAGGCCAAGGACAGCCCCACCAGGGCAGGGGCGGTTTAGAGAGGCGAGGGGCAAGGAGGAAGCTCTTGGATCATCCCCCACAATCTCCAGATTGTGAATGAATCCTTCCAGGGCTCTGACCCCGGAAAAACAGACACGACATGTGCCAGGCCTGTAGGCTGCTGCTGAGTTTGGGCCTGTGAGGCAGGGTGAAGGAAGCTGGCTGCTTTCTCAGATTCTGTTCCACGGCTTCTGTGTTTCTGGGAGTTCCACAGAGTGGGCTTCCACTCAGCAGACTCGGAGCTCGGTTGCCCACTGGGGTCTCTGTAGGGCAGAAACACCCTGCTCACGGTTGCTGCACCTCAGTCGCACTGTGGCGCCAGGCCCTTACAGACACCAGCTGTGCCGCCTCCTTCCCATGCAGCAAAGCCTCTGCTTCAGGCCCCCAGATGGGCTGACCACAGTGGCACCGCCCCATCCTCCTGCACCCAGGACGCACCTGCTGGAGCTCCTAGCCACCCTGCACCATGGGCACAGGGTCTCTGAGGGCTCACCAGGCAGCTCTTCCCTTGCAGGGCTCCCTGCGGATTGCCGAGGCCGCTGGGAGAGCTTCGTGGAGGAGACGCTGACGGAGACGAACCGCAGGAACACCGTGGACCTGGTGAGGAGGCTCGGGGTTGCTCCCTCGGGGCACGCACGGTGCTGGGATGCCAGATGCTTCTGCCTTTGCCCTGAGGCAGAGGCCAAGGGAAGCACAAGGGCCACACACCTGCCTGCTCCTCTAGCACGAGGGTGCCCGTGCCTACCCTGCAAGTGTGCATCCTGTCCTCTGGGCTGATGTCCGTAACACAGACCCTGTCCTGTGCCACACCCAGGGCTGGCTCTCTGAGGACCTCTGTGCAGAGCCGGTGTTGGCCCTGGGTCCCTTCCCTCCCACTCGAGGAGCTGGAGCTTGTTGGCAGAGGGCTCCTTATGCCTGAGACCCACAACATGCCCCCTGCACATGGAGTTTGGGCTGCCATGGGGCATTGGCCTCACCTGGGCACCTCCTTACACAGCACGGCCTCCTGGGCCCAGAGGTCTGACAAGGGCCATGCTGGGTGGGGTTTGGGAGCCCTGGGCTGGGCAGGGTCCTGGGCGCTGGGCTGGGCAGGGTCTGGGGTGCTGGGCTGGCTCACACGCCCACCCCATCTGGCCTGTGTTTTAGGTGAGCACTCACCACCTGCACTCCTCAAGTGAGGACGAGGACATTGAGGGTGCTTTCCCTAACGAGCTGTCCCTTCAGCAGGTGAGGGCATGGCCGGCACCTGCACCCTGCCGGGCCCTTCCCGGCACCTGCGCTTGGTCCTCCAGAGTCTCTGATGGCATCTCACTAGCAAAGGGGAGAGGGGGCTCGTCTCCGAGCACGTATGGGGCGGGTGGGTCTGAGGGGAGAACCCCAAAGTCACTTCACCTTGATGAGAGCACTGAGGACACAGCAGATGGTCTTGAAAGTTGGAGAACACGGGGCGCATCTCAGATGTGACTGCGGTGAGCACGCAGCCCATTTTGGTAGAATCGTGAGCCCCGAAAAGTCAGAGTTTAGTGCCCACTTTTGCTGGAGGAGAAACTCCTGAACAGCTAAAGAGACTGGTTCCCAAAGCGCAGCCTCCAGGCCAGAGGCCTCCTGACATGTGCCTGTCCCTCCCTCCCTCCTTCCCTCCCTCCCTCCCTCATCCCTCTCCCCTCCTTCCCCTCCCTGCTTCATGACATGTGCCTGTCCCTCCCTCCCTCCTTCCCTCCCTCCCTCATCCCTCTCCCCTCCCCCTCCCTGTTCCTTCCCCTCCCTCCCCTCCCTTCTTCTCCTACCCCTTCCTTCCCTGTCCCCTCCCTCCCCCCTCCCCACCTCCCCCTTCCCCTCCTTCCCCCTCCCCTCCCTTCTCCCCCCTCCGTTCCTCCCCCCTCCGTTCCTCTCCCCTCCCCTCCCCTCTCTCCCCCCTCCTCCCTTCCTCCCCTCCCAGGCCTTCTCTGACTACCAGATCCAGCAGATGACAGCCAACTTCGTGGATCAGTTTGGCTTCAATGATGAGGAGTTTGCAGACCAGGATGACAACATCAAGTGAGTCTTCTTGCACACCCGCTGCATGAGGTGCAACTTCCCTCCTTACTGCTGGGTCCCATGGGGGCAGCTCCCTGAGGCCTTGCTGGGAGTGCAGCCTGGGGTTCCCCAGGAGACAGCAAGTGTTCAGGTTGTGTGAGGGCACTGAGGGCCCCAGACGAGCACCACGGGAGGAGCATTGAGGGCCCCAGATGAACACCACGGGAGGAGCACTGAGGGCCCCAGATGAGCACTGTGGGAGGAGCACTCAGTCATCCCCCTTGCTCTTGCAGTGCCCCGTTTGACAGGATTGCAGAGATCAACTTCAACATCGATGCTGACGAGGACAGTGTGAGCGAGTGGGACTGTGGGGCCATGACATTAGCCTTTTCCCAGGCAGCTAAGGCTGTGCCATGGTTGGGTCTGTCGTGGGCCTGTGCAGTGGGGCTGGGAGCAGCCACTCTTCTTGCCCCTCCCATCCTGCCCTCCAGCCGCGGGTCTCCCACATCCTGAACGAAGCCCCTCTGGAGCGCTGTGGGGATAGGGCCTCCTGTCTCCCGCAGACCCTCTGGAAACTGACCTTCACGGTTTGCTCTGCAGCCCAGTGCAGCTCTGTTTGAGGCCTGCTGTAGCGACCGCATCCAGCCCTTTGACGACGACGAGGATGAGGACATTTGGGAGGACAGTGACACTCTCTGTGCTACCCGGGTGACAGCCAGAGCCAGGTACAGGGCCCACCCACCCGCCCAAAGCCTCCGCGGAGGAGGTACCGCTCCCAGAACACCCGTCGGCTGCCCGGCTGCCCTGCTGTTTGTTAGGCTGGCTCAGAGCAAGCACACCTGTCCTTTAAGCTCTGGGCCCAGCACACCAGGAGCACTCAGGCCCCGTGTGACCCTAAGGAGCCCAGAGCTGGGCTGGAGCGACTGGTGCTCCCCACTCCGGATGCTCTGTGTGCCTGGAGTCATCACTTAGGTGTCCGTCCTGGGCCACCAGGCATCTGACTCTGCATCTCCCCCAGGTTTGGAGCCCCCCATGCTTCAGAGAGCTGCTCAAAGAACAGCCTGGAGTGCAGAAGCCAGGACAGGAAGGCGAGCTCAGGAGACGGAGACGTGCCTGGGACACATGCCCCCCCGGCCCCTGGGAAGAACGAAGCCCCCCCTGTGGAGGGTGACTCAGAAGGTGGCGCTGTGGGCCACGGGCCAGGGACGTGGGTGTTGGGGACAGGACATGGTACCCTGGCCTGGGTGTCGTGGGCGTCATTTGGAGCCGAGGCATCTGGAACTCGATGTAGCCTGGAGCCCGCGTCCCCAGCTGTTTCCTAGCTGTCCTGAGTAGGGGTCTGTGCTGCACTGCCAGCGAAAGGTGGCCTCCTGCCCCTGCCCTCTCAGTTGTGGTCACTCTCAGCCGTGTCCCAAGGCTGCTGGGTGGTTTCCACCTAGTCTCCATCGTCCACTCCACCCCACGCAATCGGGGCACAGGCCTGACGCCCACCCCAGCACAGTAGCACAGGCTGGTCACCACCCTCACAGCTGACACCTTTAGCAGGAGCCAGTCCACTCAGGCCACACTGCTAAGACCCTTCTCCTTACCCCTGCCCTGAGGGCAGCGCTGAGGCTCTCAGGACTTTGGGGAGGGAGTGGGATCTCTATTAGGAGGTGCCAACTCTTAGCTGAGGGCAAGAGAGAGAGCAAGGGCGACACCGTGGGGAAGCAGGAACGTCCTGGATAGGAGGAAGGCACTCCATCCTGGCCAGAGAGGGGGCAGTGGTGCTGGGTGAGCTGCAGTCCGTCAGGTGCCATCCTGGGCAGACCCACTGGAAGAGCATGCAGGGCTGTCGTATCACCTCCACACTGTCAGTGTTGGCCCTGCTGGAGGCCTGGGGCCCTCAGGCGCCTGACCGAGCCCCAGGTCACGTCTCATGGGTGCTAGTGGCTTCTCAGGACCCTTGAGCTGTCCTGGTTGCTCTGATGGGGCTGGTAGGTACTGCCCAGGCCTCCCTCCTGGAGCAGCCCCACGTTCCTGTCAAGCTCTGTGGGGCCCTGGGGGTGGGGGGAGCTACCTCTCCTTAGTGTGCAGCACCCCAGGCCTGCCCACGCCTGACCTCTGTCTCTCTCCCCAGCAGGCGCCACGTGGACGGCAGTGTTTGATGAGCCAGCGAACTCGATGCCCATGGCCCCAGGAGTGGTGAGGGATGTGGGTTCCAGTGTATGGGCAGCTGGCACCTCAGCTCCAGAGGAGAAAGGCTGGGCCAAGTTCACCGATTTCCAGCCTTTCTGCTGGTAACGGATGCATTGGCAGGAGGGGGCTGTGCCAGGAAGTGCCTGTCAGGGTCAGGAGGCGCCTATGCCCAGGACTGATTCTGTCCTCGTCCTTGTCTGCAGCTCCGAGTCAGGGCCCAGGTGCAGCTCTCCGGTGGACACAGAATGCAGCCATGCCAAGGGCAGCCGCATCCAAGGCCCCGAGAAAGCCTGTGAGTAGGAGCAGTGCAGGCTGTACCCAGGCTCCTGCAGACGCCTGGCCTTGCCTAGTTTAAGGCCTGGGGCTGCTGGCCCCACTCCTTGGGGGCAGTGGGAGCAGGTGGCCATGGCCCACATGCTGCCAGGTCTCAGATGATGTTGGGGTTTGTTACAGCAGTGGGACTGGAGCAGCCACATGCAGATGGGGAGGCAGCAAGGCCATCGGGCTGGCCCCGAGCCCCGTCTGAGCAGGTGGCACAGCCCAGGTCTGCACCCTGGGTTCCAGACAGCAGCACTGGGACCCCAGCATTGAGATGTGTGTGGGTGGGATGTTGGCAGGAAGCCGTTCTGGGGCCTGATGAGAGCCCCTGCCCCTCAGCCCCCTAGTCAGCCTCAGAAGCTCCCCTAGACAAGGCTGAGCACTCCCAGCGAATGACAGCTGGCTCCCAACACTGGTGTCACAGGCGCTAGGGTCCTATGGCTTGGAGCTGTGGCAGGACCACACAAGTTAGAGCGGGCCCCTTCCTGAGCCTCTGCGTCCTAGTGTGAGGCCAGGGCTCTGGCTCATTGCTCTGTGTTATGGGGGAGAAACAGGGTTGCTCGTGTGGAGATCGCATAGCCAGTGTGAGAGCCTGTCTGCCTTGTCTTGCGGTTCCCACACAGGCACACGTGTGCAGGCAACGGGCTGCATGTGAGAGGCTGGCTGTGCTACACACGGGCCACACGGGTGGGGGCCCTGTGACTGGCATGGCTGCGCCCTGTGGCTCCTGCTGCCTCACTGGACAGCACAGGCCTCCTGCTTTGCAGTCAGCCCGGCTTCCCCATGTGCCTGGAATGTGTGTGCCACCAGGAAGGCCCCCCTGCTGGCCTCTGACAGTAGCTCCTCTGGCGGCTCTGACAGCGAGGATGACGACCAGAAGGCAGCAAGTGCCACGGATGCTGTGAGCAGGGGTCCCGGCTGGGAGGCCCCACCACTGCCCACAGTGACCAGGACAGAGGAGGCTGTCGGCAGGTGTGTGGGGTATGGGGGGTACACAGGGCGTGGCTTCCAGGCTCTGTCCCCAGCTCTTAGCTCCCCTGGGAGCAGCCTGAGGCCAGGCCAGGGGTCTTCACTGCTTTCCCAATGGCCTGTGACCCTGCAGATCTGTCTTCCCTGTTGTGAGTGGTTAGGACAAGAAGACATGGCCTCAGTGTCCCAGACAGCTCCCCCAGGGATTTCAGGGAGCAGCCCCTACTCCAGATCCTGATTGGAGAGAACCGCCCAGCTCTTGGGGCTCTGGGCCTGGCTGAGCTGCCTGGGATCTGGGTGCCCTGGTGGTCGGGGAGGGGCACAGACTAAGTCCAGCAGGCGGGGCTCATGCCTGCTGCTCCCCTTTCATGGTGGCCTGTGATTCCCAGATGGCTCAGAAGCAGGACAGTATGGGGTGTAGGGGTCTCAGGACTGCACTTGGGGCCTCCAAACCCTGACTGAGAGCTGGAGGCAGCTTGCAGGTGGGCAGAGGCCCAGGCTCCCTTGAGCCCCTGCAGCCATTCCTGGGGAGAGTGGAGAGGGAGGTACTCCTTGTAAGGAGGCTGAACCCCATCCATCCCCCGACAGGAAGAAGGTCCCTGGGATCTGTCAGTGAACAGATATCTCTTCTAGCCGTCGGGGTCAGGGGTGGGAGTTTAGCAGGAGGGCAGGACAGCCGGGGTAGATGCCAGGGCCAGGTAAACCTGAGGGGGAAGGGAGGACTGGGCTTGAAGTGGGGAGGAGGGTGCACCCAGCAAGGGAGCAGCTCTGCAAAGGCCCTGGGGCCTGAGCTCCTACTAGGTTCAGGCAACAATGGGAAAGTACTCTAGGAGGGTACAAGGTGCCTTTGACACCTGGCAGTGCTTCCCAGTCACTCCTGGCTCCATGGTTGGGAAGGGCCTGCTTGGAGGTGGGTGAGGGCATCTCCCAGCCTCACTGCCCAGCGCTGCTAAGCCTGCATACACCCCACCTGTCCTATCCTCCCCCCACAGGTGGGGCAGGCCTGACACTTCAGAGGGCCCTGCTCACTGACCCCTGGCAGTCCAGTCCTGGGAATTTTTAAGAATTACAGTGCCTAAACTTGAAGAAGGAATGCCTTATTAAAATTTAGTCACTGAAATTCTCAAAAATCCTTACCTGGCTAGGTGCAGTGGCTCACGCCTGTAATCCCAGCACTTTAGGAGGCCTAGGCGGGTGGATCACAAGGTCAGGAGTTCAGGACCAAGTCTGGTCAATATGGTGAAACCCCATCTCTACTAAAAATACAAAAATTAGCTGGGCATGGTGGCGCGTGCCTGTAGTCTGAACGATTTGGGAGGCTGAGGCAGGAGAATCGCTTGAACCAGGAGGCAGAGGTTGCAGTGAGCTGAGATCGCGCCACTGCACTCCCTCCCGCCTGGGCATCAGAGTGAGATTCCGTCTCAGTAACAACAGCAAAAAAAACCTTTACTCAGCTGGGTGTGGTGGCTCACACCGGTAATCCTGGCACTTTGGGAGGCAGAGGTGGGTGGATTGCCTGAGCTCCTGGGCAACATGGCAAAACCCCATCTCTACTAAAATACAAAAAATTAGCTGAGTGTGGTGACACACGCCTGTAGTCCCAGGGTGAGGCAGGAGAATTATTTGAACCCGGGAGGCAGAGGCTGCAGTGAGCAGAGATCACGCCACTGCACTCCAGCCTGGGCAACAGCGAGACTCAGTCTCAAAAACAAACTTTTACCCACTTTCCCTAACAACCCCTGAAAAACTTTGCTCTGAAAAGCAGAGAATATCTGTGCAAAATAAGTTGCTTTTTTCCACCGGGCTGTCTGTAAAACTTGCCACTTAGAGCCCAGCCTGCAGGTGGGCGTGTTCACACCCCCAACGCCCCTCCCTGGGTCAGACCCTCAGTGTCCTCGCCCTGCAGGAGGCCAGATGGCACATCTGCTGCTCGTAGCCAGGCTGGGCCTTAGGGTGCCTGATCTCCTCCAGAACAAGCTCCTTAGATGCCCGGCAGGATCCTCTCTCCCATCCCTCAGGAGGTTTTTCCACACTGCCCAGTGTAAGGCTGAAGTTGAGATCAAGGCACAGGAGCCTCTGGGGCGCTTGACGACGGGCAGGATCTGAGCGCTGCCTGGAAGGTTTGAGGTCATTGATAGGCAGCTTGTCCCAGCACCTGGAACTTGGGGTGGCAGAGCTGCCTACCTGGGCACAACCTGGGCCACCATATGGGCAAGAGTAAGAGGGACCACAGGCGGGGCTCCGGGGCCACCTGGATCTCTTTGTCCTGCTGGTCCTTGGGCACAAGGTGGGGTGGCATTGAGGGTGGGGATGCCCGTAACCAGAACCCATGTCTGCCACACAGGGCCGAGTGTGCTGACAGCAAGCTGTTAGACCCTGCCTGCCCCATGCCAAAGGAAGTGACCGCTGCCCCAGCTGTGGCTGTGCCCCCCGAGGCTACCGTGGCCACCACCACAGCACTGAGCAAGGCTGGCCCCGCCATAGCCACCCCAGCAGTCTCTTCTGCAGTGGCCGTGGCAGCCCCCCTGGGGCCTATCATGGCAGTCACAGCAGCCCCAGCCATGGTAGCCACCCTGGGAACAGTGACAAAGGACGGGTGAGCAGGTTGAGTGCGGGGGTGGGGGATGTGGACAGGCCCCAAAGCCTGCATGGCTCCAACCGCCCGCATTCCTGCAGGAAGACAGATGCCCCGCCGGAAGGAGCTGCCTTAAATGGCCCCGTGTGATGCTGCTGCCCGCCCGGCCACGGCCCGCCTGGTCAGGCTGTACCCTAATCGAGAAAACTACCTGGTGATGCAAATTTTTTTTTAATTTAATTTAATTTTGAAATAAATGCTGCATTGGTAAAGCTGCCAGTTGAAACCAGTTGGACAGCCCAGCTTGCGTCTCTCCTGCCTGACCGAGTGGGCCCTGCTGGAGGACAGAGGGTGCACCTCAGCTGCCCCCAGGCCCGGAGCACAGCAATAAGGTCTCAGGCCTGCAACCTCTGCCTGCAGGAGCCGCAGGAGCTGGAGTGGGGGGTGGGGGCAGGACCCTGAGATGCCATGAGGACCTGATGGCCCAGGAAGGGCTTGGACGGGGAGGCTGTTTTTACTTTTTTTTTTTTAGAATACAGGAGCCAAGCTATTTTGCACTTTGTATCCAGCTGCAAGCTCAGGGCAGAGTCAAGGGCCTGGGTTGGGGAGACCTGACTTGCAGGAGTGCATTCAGGGTCTCAGACCCTTGCAGCTGCCCAGTAGCCCTTGGAGCTGGCATTGAACCAGGCTGCAAGATTTGACTGCCTTAAAAACACAAGGCCCTCTAGGCCCGGCAGGGGGACACCACAGGTATGCAGGTTGGGGACACGGCGAGGCACTGGGGGCTCGGAGACTGGTTTCTAGCGGTACTGGTCATGGCCATGTCATTCTAGGAGGGTCCAGATTATTTTACGTTGAGTCCGTTTTTAATGTTCTGATCACCTGACAGGGCACCCAGAACCCCCAACTCCCAATAAAAGCCGTGTCACTCGGACAAACTGCGTATTGTGAAGCTTCCGGCCAGGGGTGGGAGTGTCTCACCAGCACCTCTTTTGTAGCCCCCCACCCTCCAGGACCATCCCCATTAATGGGTGCAGGTGGGACAGACCACATCACAGCAGTTGGTCTCCTCTATACCTGAGCAAACACTGAGGTTTTTCCTTTTGGGGGGGGGGTGGGGTTGGAACCCCTTCACCTGAAGCTCAAACACCAAACCTAGGGCTTCCCTTTGTGCCAGCTTCCCAAGTAACCCAGGCCCCACCTTGTCCTCACTGGCTGAGTGGCAAGGGCAGGGCAGGTGAAGACCAGATCCCCCCACCGCACCCCCACCCCGGGGGGGTCTGTCTGAAAAGGTTGGGAGTGGAGGGAACCGGCTCAGCTCTCCAGAAGCTGGGTCTCCACCCCTGGCCTGTGCCTGGCATTTGTCCCTCCTAGTCCTAGTCCTCCCCCAACTCTGCCGCACCTCTCCCCAACAAACGTGGAACAGGGAGGGCAGGGTCCTTTCTCCCCTTACTCTGACCTGTGGGTTTTCCAGGTGCCAGGAACCTTGGTCAGGCGCCACCTGTCCCGCCGGTGGGGGGCGGGGGAAGACCTGGGAGGTCTCAATGGCTAAAGTGAGTCCACCCTCACGTCTCCCCCAGCTGTCCCAGCACTGGCTGTGGGGTGGGGGAGGTGGTGGGACCATGCTGGGCCTGCAGGGTCTTGGCCCCCACCTGTCAGCACTGGGCCCTGCCTCTGCTGCCATCACCATCACCTTCCCCCGCTGCCCCCCACCCATGCCTGCTGCTCACCTCCCACCTGCGAGGGGTCCCCCACCAGCCCCTCCGGCCGGTCACCAGCTTGGATGTTCCCTTAGTATGTCCAACATCCACAACCCCGGCCGGGCCCCATCACAGTGGCTCAACAGGCGAAGCCCTGGGCCTGGTGCACTCAGGTTTGAATAGGAAAAGAGCAGCGACAGATGCCTCAGGAAAGAGGGACAGGCCTTTGGGGCAGAATTCCCAACAAGTGAGAGGGTCTGTTCCCAGTAGGCATCAGCCCCCTCACTCTGCCAGGTGCTGCTTGTTGCCTGGTGGGAGCCAGATGCGGTTGACCCTCATTCCCCTGGGAACCCACCGTCCCCCGGCCTGGGTGTGGCCTCCATCCCTTTAGCTCTAGTCTAACCAGCGGCTGCTGTCCACTTCAACTGTCTGTGGACCCGAAACAGCCTCCTGGGGGCAGATGACCACCCAACGCTTAGACCCCCACTAAGCCTCTGTGATGCCTGCATCCGAACCCCCTGGGCAGGGATGGGGGCAAAGAAGCTTCTGCCCTACCTGCTTCCAGGGCCATGCAGGCTGAGCTGGGAGGACTCAGGCACCAGGGAAGGCTCAGAAGAAAGATGTCAACCCTTCCACTTAGTGGGCCTGGGTAGGGGCAGATGGGACCCTCTGGACAAGCCGAAAACGGGCAGCCAGGGCGTGGATGAGGCAGACACACGAGCGTGGCGTTAGTTCTCTCTTTATATAGACTCTGTCTGGTTCTAGAAACAACTCGCCTGCAGCCGGCTGGCTGGGCCAGCACATGCTGACGGGGCTGGACTATTTACAGGCCCACTGCGGGCTGTACCTTGGCCACCTCCCGGCACGGTGCTCAGCTGTGATGCCAAAATAAGTTAGGGCCGGCCGGGTGGGGCGGGGCAGGGCAGGGACAGGGGCTGTACACGCAAGTGCTGGGGGCTCGGGGCCTCAATACTGTCGAGGGCCGGGGCTGTAAACATGGCCGGGGCGGCCCTGCCCACCCCTAGTGGTCTGTAACGACTGGAAGCAGAGCAGCCGGGCAGGGCCGGGAGGCTCAGGCGTCTGACAGGCAGCTCTGGATCCGGTCCACCCACTGCTGGGCTGAGGGCACATCCTGGGCACAGAAGTTGTAAACGCGACGCGTGGTCTTCACCTGGAGAAGGGTGGGTTACTGACTCCACAGCCCCACGGCACGGAGCCCCTGCCTTACCTCTCCCAAGCCCCAGCCAAGGCTCACGTCAAAGAAGGCCTTCTCATCCACGGTTTTGGGAGCGCCCATGGTGGGCGTGCCAGGGGCCACAGCCTCCACCTCCGCCAGGTCGATGACACCCTTGCAGTCTGTGTCCACTCGGTGGTCATAGTAGCGCAGCTGGAGGAGGCCACAGAGTCAGGGTAGCCCCTTCCCCCATGGGTCCTCCCCAACCCACCACCTCATCACTCACCTGGTGCTTGGTCTTGTCTAACACGAACCAGCGGGCCTTCCAGGGCTTCATGAAGGCCCCCTTCTTGTACAGAGTGCCCTCATAGGACCTGCATTTGCGGCAGAACCAGAGCAAGGCTGGCTGTCACAGGGCTTGGGGAGGCCCAGGAGGTAAGACCAGAGTCCCCATCCCCAGAACTGAACTAGGGCCAGAATCCTGGCCAGGGGGGCCACAAAGAAGCCTTGGGGCTGCAAACCCAGAAACACTGTGCCCAGAAAGGAGATGGTAAAGGGAGCCTCATACCCTCCAGACTCCAGGGAGCATCCCCACACCACAGCCTCAGGGTCTTGGGAAAGCAGCCTCGCCACCCCTCAAGCTGGGCAGGTGCCCTCAAGAGGAGAGGGATGCCTGGCAGGCAGGTCTGCAGAAGCAGCGCTCCGGCGGATGGATCCAGCCAGGCTCCAGACTCACGAGTGTGGTACAACCACCCCCTCTCTCTGCTCCTCTCAGCCATTGCAGGCTGTGGTCTGCTGTGGCCACCAGTCCTATACCCCAAACCCCTCCCAATGGTGGCCTATACTTAGGCCACCATTGTGGCCTTCCCAACAAATCCTTCCACCCTAAGAAATGACAAAGCAGCCAGGCATGGTGGCTCACGCCTGTAATCCGAGCTCTTTGGGAGGCTGAGGTGGGCAAAGATCAGGAATTTGAGACCAGCCTGGCCAACATGGTGAAACCCTGTCTCTACTAAAAATACAAAAATTAGCCAGGCGTGGTGTCAGGCACCTGTCATCCCAGCTACTCAGGAGGCTGAGGCAGGAGGCTGGCTTGAACCCGGGAGGCGGAGGTTGCTGTGAGCTGAGATCACACCACTGCACTCCAGCCTGGGCAACAAGAGCAAAACTCCGTCTCAAGACAAAAATGACTGAAGGTCCTCAAAAGCACCTGCAGTCTCCCAGAACACCAGCTCAGAGGTGTCTGTGCGGCAGTGGGAGGTGCCCTCATACCTGTTCTCACTCTCAGCTGTCTGGAACTGGCTGTACAGGGTGCTGGTGCTGCGGCGGGCAGCCTGGCGGGAGCCAGATGCAGTTGAGCCACTACTCTGGTCACTGTCCAGGCTGAGGCTCAGGGTGGAGCCCACAGGCCCCTCCTGCAGGTACACACCCAGCGAGCGGCGGTGGTGGGGTGCCGTGGACACTAGGAGGGAGCTAGGGGTGCCCTGCAAAAAGGAGGGTGGGACTTCCATCAGGGCTGGGCAGACTCCGATTTCTCCAGCAACATGCCCACCTTGGCCACCCACACTCGCCCTCACTCACACGTCCGTCTGGCCGGCCTTCGAGGCGCTGCGCAGCCTTCACCCGGTCCCAGGTGTCCTTCCAGCGCTCAGTGGGTCGGCCCAACTCTGTCTCCAGCCTCTGCAGCTCCTGGGAGCAGAATTAGTGAAAATTTTATTCAAACAGAAATATCCAGACTAGAGCATGAAAAGACAAAAGGATGAAAGTACAGCCAAGAGACACAATGAAAAGGCCTTAATGTGTGTAACTGGGCCACAGGAGGAGGTGGCAAGAGGGAGGGAAGGAAGAGGCAAAATGAATATTCAGAGAAAACAGTTGAAAAATTTCCCAAGCTAACCAGAGGCATCAAACAACATCATGAAGCACTACAGACTGCAACGCCCAAGTTAAAAACACCCCAAAACGGGACAGAAAAAGAGAAAAGTCCCAAAACCATCTAGAAGAAAAAAAGACATGGACTCTCTGAAACAGCAACAACAAAACTGACAGCTGACTTCCGAAGAGAAACACGAGGCCGACGGCCACTTCCAGCCCTGACAGAGAATCAGTCTGAAGAGCCTCCCTCCATATGCAGTGATGAAACTGGGCAAGAGGACGCAGTTATTTCGGATGTTGGGCAAGCAGGGCAGCTTGAGACAGGAGCCTAAGACATGGGACCACATTAGGTGGGCCCCACAGTCACCCCCATTTTCTGCCCAAGCAGAGTGCAGGGAGGCAGGGCCAGAGCAACACACAGAAGCTTGCTGAGCTGAGCAGAGGAGACAGATGGGACGTCCCGGGGCGCAAGTGCAGGCAGGTCTGCACCAGAGGGAGGGAGCACCACAGCAGAAGGGCTCTAGAA